AATTAAGTGCATTTGCATAAAGTTCCCAAAAATGTTATGCATTTTGAAAATTTTGATATCAATTATTAGAGAAATATCATTTTCATTTAAACCATATGCATAATCATTTAAATTTAGATCAAAAATTTAAAATTTGTAAATTCAAAACATTTAAAAAGTTAATATTAATTGTTAGAGAGATATCATTTGCATTTAAAACCAATTTTGACCAAAATTCATTACGATGAACTAAAAATTTTGAAAAATTATTAAGACATTAAAATGTTCATCATAATTTCCTTTTAACATACATGAGATTAAAAATAATACATAATTATTTAAAATCAAAACTCATGCATGCTTAAAATTAAATGAGCAACCAAATAACCAAAATTAAAAGCATTAAGCTTAGAGGTTACCCATTCCTTTTTCATGTGTGGCTAGAGCATCTTGAATATCATCATCTTCATCACCATTGTTCCCACACACCTACAAGAGACATTCATTTCGATTTTGGTATCCAAATTGCTTTGGATCCTTGGAAGTTAGTTTCAATTCCCCTTGTTCCCTTAGGAACCCATACTTGTCTAATTTTAAAATGTTTTCCTTTCTTTAAAGGACAAGTATGTTCCAAATGACCATAAAAATGACAATGTGAGCATTTTGCCATTTTTAAACATAATAGGTTATTTTTAGAAATTAATTCTTTTTCTTTTGTTAAGACTTCAAGATTAACTTCTAACTCGAAATTTTTCTTTTCTAAATCATTTATTTTGATTTTTGAAAGCTCTAAATCATTTTTCAAAATTTTATTTTGATTTTCAAAATCAACTTTTGCTTTCAAAATCAAATTATCTTTATTTTTGAGTTTTGAAATTAATTTCGTATATTTGAAATTCATGGTCTCAAATCCCAAATACAACCTATTATAAGCATCTTGTAACTCATCAAAAGTAAATGAATTAAATTCATTTGAGTTAGAAGATACCTCGAATTCTTCTTGAGTGGCCATGAGGCATATGTTAACTACTTCATCTTTATCATTGGACTCATCTTCATCACTCCAAGATGCAACAAATGCCTTTTTCCCCTTTTTCTTTAGAAGAGGACATTCATACTTGACATGCCCCTTTCTTTGACAATTGAAACATATCGGGGGACTCTTTTTTTTGGTTGATTCATGTTTCACTTCCTTGGAAATCATGAATCTCTTGAGTTCCTTCAAGAGCTTGACCATCTCTTCTTTTTGTTCATAATCTTCTTCAACCACCTCATCACTTGAATCTTGATAGCTTTCAATGGTGGATTTGAAGGCAATGCCTACCTACTCCTTCTTCTTTTTCTTGTTTTATTCTCTTCCCTTTCTTCATCTTCCTTCATCATCATCTCATGAGTGAGAAGGGAACCAATTAGCTCGTCGAGAGTGAGAGACTTTAAGTTTCTTGCTTCGATAATGGTCGTCTTCTTCGATTGCCACTCCTTCGGAAGAGAGTAGATCATCTTCCTCACAAGCTTCTCATTAGGTATTACTTCTCCATATCCCTTGAGACCGTTGACATCACAGAAATCTATCCGTCATAGCTTTGTCTTCATCGGGTTTCATCTTGAAGTTCTCGTAGCTATGGTGAGAAGACTTTCTTTGATTCCCTCACTTCGTCGGTTCCTTCATGAGTGACTTGGAGCTTATCCCAAATCTCTTTGGAACTGGAACAAGATGAGAATCTTCCATATTCATTTGGGCCTAAAGCACAAAATAGAATATGTATAGCCTTAGAATTAAGCTGAAATTTTTTCTGCTCTTCTCTACTCCAATCGTTGTACTTGTCGGGTATAGAGGAGTAACCATCCATGATTGAGTACCAAGCTTCTAGATTGTATGATTGAATGAAGTACATCATCTTATTCTTCCAATGTGCATAATTTGCTCCATTGAAGAAGGGTGGCTTGTTGATCGATTGTGAATCCATAATAGGATATTCTTCAAGATAATAAGCACCGGAGGAAAAAGTCATTTCTTTGTCGATTGTGTCGGGAATTGGTAGAGCTTCTTCTAGGATCGTCTCAAGGTGGTTAAACCTTCTTAACGAGTTAGGCTATGATGCCAATTGTTGGGATTTTCGGAAGCTCGAATCGACAACCGAAACGGTTTGCAAAGAGGGGTCGGAACAGTTTTGTGTTTAGGGAGTAAGGAGATTGAAAGATAGAGAATTGCACAACGATTTATAGTGGTTCGACTTTCTCAATCAAAGTCTACGTCCACTACCTTAGCTCCTCACCAATGATTTTCCAACAAATTCACTAATTTGTTCTTTCTTTTGAGGATAAAGAGTAACCTTACAAACTCCCTAGTTTTTCCGGGCTAAACTAGAACCTTTTCCTAGCTTTTACACGGGATTAGCTAGAACCTTTCCCCTTTACAAAAGGATAAGAAATGTAAACAAGAAAACCTCTCTAAGGTAGGTGTTTACAAGATTGAGCTCACAAGAACAAAATATATACAAGAGAAAGATGAAATAAGAATGAAAAACTCTTCTCTTGTGTTTGATTGCTTGGATAGTTGTTCTCTTACTTCTTCAAGTGTCCTTAGCTTGTATTTATAGCTTGGAATATGTTTGAAGTCATATCTAGCCGTTGGAGATGTTTTGGAGCCGTTCGGGAATGATTTTTCTGCAAAAATAGGCTGCCCAGAATGGGGGGAATCGGTACCCCTTCATAGGGAATCGATACCCCTTCATAATATTCAAATATTATGACGGTTGGGCTGATGAACAGTGAGGGAATCGATACCCTCAAGGGGGGAATCGGTTCCCTCAGAGTAATCTGTTATTTCTCGGAGCCAAACCATGCAGGGGGAATCTGTACCCCTGGGGGGGGATCTGTTCCCTTTGGGCAATCTGGTTTTTCTTGCTCAAATCCGATTTTAATGAACTTTGAATTATTTTTGAAACCTTTTGAAAACTTTGAATAAATTCAATTCAAGTCCAAAAATATTTTGCCTTTAAATTTGTTATATCGAAACATATTTCAACACTATAGTTTAGGGGACCATTTGTGTACTTTAACCAAAAACAAGATAATGAATAATATTTTTATGATTGCATTTTTGGTTCCAATGCTTTGCCTTGACTAATCTGAACCAACCCGCGTTGTACATATGATTTTAATGGGCAAGTCTTCCCCCAGGAATTTTCTGCATATACAAAATCTCTAACTCGAAACATTTCTTAAGCGATACCAAGCTGTTTACCACTTGAATTAACATCTATTGATATTATTAAAGTCAAGATAATACATACCCACAATAGAGAAAGAACCTCAAATCAATTTTTAGTCTATCAATTTAGGATTTTTCATTTTTTATCCACACTAATATTTAAATTTGATAATTTTCTTTAATTTAGTGCTTAAATTTTATTTTAATTGACGTTTTTTTCATGTTAACTTAAAAATATGATAATATGATAATGTTTCAAGTCACTACAAAATTAAAATTGAATCAAAAATCCAATTTTAAAGACTAAGTATGGACAAAAAAAGTTAAAACGTAATATAAAAATAAATGTTTAAATTATAACTCAAAAAACGTTTAATACTTGAATAATTTTTTGCTAAAAATAGGTGTTTAACATTTTTTCGTTTCATTTTTAGGTGTATGACGTCAACAGTTGTTAAAAATCACTGTTAAATGACACATGTTATACTCTGACAATTTTGAAATTTTTTAAATAAAAAATATAGTTAAAAACCCCAAAACTTTTAAAAACTTCATTTTAATCCCTTTGACACCGTAGGTCGCCACCAACGTCGTCAATCAACCGAATACCTAACGACGTGGCTTGCCAACCACCCATGATCAAAATCTTTTGAAATTTTTTTATTTTAAGGTTTTGAAATCATAAAAATCTCTTAAATCGATCGTGATAATCAGTCGTTTGATTGGATGTGGTGGTCGGTTGTGGTAGTCAGTCTTTGGCCGTGACAGGGGAGGGAGAGAAGAAAAGGGAGAGGAAAAGGGGTGGGAGAAATGCACGATTAAAAAATATTAGTTGTTGGATAGATCTTCTCTAATAATAGAATCTTCAATAATTTATTCGGTACACCAACTCTTTCATAAATTAAATCCAAGGACTCACTCTATTATTTAATTTTACTAAATTTCAAAAGAGTCAAATTATTTAATTTTACTAAATTTCAAAAGAGTCAAATACTGGTAATATTTTATGAATTACAAGTTGTTATTCTCTTCATCATTTGTATGATTGGAAGGATCTCTAATCATATACATATATTTAATGTAGACATCAATTTATATTAGGAATGGACGGAGTCATGATTTCAACTTGAGGGAGTAAAATATAATTTTTATAAAGTTAAGGGGTAATTTCATAATAATCCCATAAATATTTAAATTTTGTATATAAATTAAATGTAAAAAAATTACTGGGTTGGGAGGTCACGTCCCTGATGTTAGGTATGTGAATATTAAGAAGATAGTATAAAATTAAATTATTAATAAAAAAATTAAAAAATAAATTATATAAGAATTTAAAATTTTTCAAAATGTGATCTATCTTTTAACACCTCTCGATCTATCTAGGGATGGATATTTGATGTCAAATCGACTTATTTCAAACTAATTCCATAAGGATTTTTTAAAAGTAAATCATTTGAGTCAAAGTAAGACTAAATTAGATTTAGGATGAAAAATTCTCGATTTAATCCAAAAATAATAACATAACCGACTTTTAACTAAGTTTGGGTTTGACGTATACACATACATGCCTACATAAAACTTCTTTAAATTTGAATTAAATCAAATAACAAATAAACCGACATTATACTCGAGTCAAGTTTAAGCGAATCAAAAACACCCAAACTATATATATATATATATATATCGGTACCCATATTGCTTAATTTTAAAACATTGCACGGGCTTATATTTATATAAGTTTAGGGTTTGAATTAATATACAATGTGATCCCTGTTTTTTTGCTTTCATTTTGATTTTGAACTTCTAAAGTTTAAACCTTTAGCTTATACTTCTTTCAGAATTAATCTCATTTTTTAAAAACTTTTCGGTTTTGGTTTCTAGGTCAACGAGCCGGGGTTTGAAGACGGAAAATGAGGGTTGTAAGGGTTATAAGGTGTGCTTTGGATGGTAATGAGAGAGGGCTGTATGGGTTTTTGAGGTTTTGAATTAAGCTGAGAGTAGTAGAATTGTAATTTTGAGGTTGTAGGGTGGAAAGCTGAGATCTATTTTCTGGGCTTTCAAGGGCGGTTTGATGAATATGTGTAATATCCATGCGATTGTTGGTGTTATTTTTTTTTTTGGAAGTGGTTTAAGCTTTGTATCAGTGGGTTTTGATCAAATGGTTGAATATGCAACTTTGGGGATTGGATCGAACAAAGAGTTCTTAACTGAGAACTTAGGATTGATTTTGAGATTAGCAAAGCCAGATATATTGATAATTGGTCTGTTTCTGAGATTTATTAGTCCATGTCGGGTGCACCAAGATTGAGGTCGATGAATGTGGACGATTCTGAGGAACGGCGCATACTGGGACTGGCGGGGAACAAGGCGGGTTCATTGAGTGCAAGAAAACCAGCTTCAAAGCCTTTGAGGAAGGTTGAAAAGCTTCCTGTTAAGGTCAATGTAACAGAGGAGAAAAAAAGCCCTTCATCATCCTATGTTGGGACGGATACAGGGACGGGGACGAAAAACGGTAATTTTTAAAATTACAGGGTACGAAAACGGCAAAGGTACAGCATATAAAATAATTTTAAAATTATAAATATATATAAAAAAATTATAAATAAAATCAAATAAAAATATCAACTTGGCATGCTCCTCGACCAATTCATTTCGCTCAATAAACAGTTCCAATTCGACAATTTGCAATTTCCTCCATCTCGCCTCTAAAGTTGCCTTCCTTTCACTGTCAACCATATCTAAACTGTGCTTTAGAAGTTCCTCTTCTAAGCCAGACACACAGAACCTCTTATTAAACAAATTACTAACCGAACTCTTAGGCACCTTATCGACCTCCATTGGCACCCCAATATCTACTTTCTTATCAGGTGAAGAATGAAACTCTGCTTTCAATGTAACCACTGCCTTGTTATTTGCCTTGGCTTTCCCATTGGATTTAGCAGCTGAAGACTTAACTTTCCCACTAATCCCCTCTTTTCCCCCATATCTTTTTCGACAGTTCAAATGCATTATGTTCATGGGCTTTAGAGAAACTTCGATTCTCACCTTTTTTACCTTTCCCGGCATTGTTCTCAAACTTTTTCTTTAACCTTCTAATCTTATCCATCAACTGTGCTTTCGTAACATCAGTAATTCAGTATGAATCGATTTCTTAACAAAATCATAAAATGCATTCATAAAAACACAAGGATCAGCCTCTTTTTTAACAGAGTAATCCAACATACCTTTCAACAGTCTCGGATATGGGTTTCTTCGCGTTCATGTCTTCCATGGGTTTCATCGCAAGAGGCTTGACATTCGGCGTAACCGTGTCGGATTCGGATTCCGACTCAGTCCCGGATTCCTCAGATTCTTCATTCACCGCTACGGCTATCGCAGGATCAAGCTTCCTGGGAGGTGGGCTCTTTTGGATCAATGGAGTAGACTGGGTTTGGGGTTCTTCATCCTCTTCTTCTTTATCGGCTGAAAATCCCACTTCTTCGTCCTCGGAGGTTGTCTCCTCAGCCAAAATTACCTTTGGGTACGTCCCCGAAACGTCCCGGATAAGCTTTGACCGTCCCCCATTTCGGTCAGCCGTACCCTGCCACCGTGGCACGTCCCCGGTACGTCCCTCAGCCGTCCCCGAACCGTCCCCGAACCGTCCCCGTACCCGAAACGTATCGGGTACTTGAAACGGGTCTCCTTTGCCGTCCCCGTGCTTCTTAGTCATCATCTACTGTTAATCCACTTTCTCCCAAAACACATCCCGTCAGTGTTCCTTCAGTGCTTCGTCTCCATGAGCAGTTATTGCATTCTAATTTATCGCTAAATGCTTCTTGTTCATCAGATGCTTCCACGGATTCGTTTCACAGTCGAGCTTCTACTGGTAGGTTAATTGGATCTGATAGTGTTGCAAGTAGGTGGAAGTCATACACATTAAAGCCGAGAACCGTTGTTTCTGATGGTGGTTTGGATTTCCCATCAGATGGTTCACATCCAAAAAAGAGATGTGCTTGGGTGACACCAAATACAGGTGTGTTGTCGTGTCTTTACAGTTTCTCAGTGTTTGGTCTTGATTGATTAGAAATTGTGTTAATTTTTTTCCTTAATTGCTTTCAATTGTTGAAATAGCTGCAGAAGCTTTTCTAAGAATTAAGTTAGAGCAAATTCCTCTGCAAATACCATTTGAATGTCCCTATGAGAATTATTTGGTTGGTCACGGCTGATATGATTTTTGTGGTTCTGCAGTCTGCACTAAGAACAAAGCAATTCTTTGTGTAATTTACTAATTTATGCTTTTCAAGTTCTCCAGTCCCTGAATTGCTGTCGTATGTTTGGTTTGAAGATATAGTCTGCAATGAAGGTTGTAACTTGATGCTTTAAAATTTTAATGATTAAATCAAGTAATAGGTTAAGTTGCCTTATACTTTATCTTTCTGACTTCATGCACAATCCATTACTTAATATTTGTAAGTTCTGTTTGGTTATCACCAAGCACATCATATGGCAGTAATAGCATGAATGCAAATTAGTTACACTTTGAGACGTTCAGGCCTTGTATTCAAAGCGAAGTGACTGTTGTTCGAACTATTGCAATCTTTTAAGGATACATCTTTAAAAATGGCTGTCCCTTTTTCCCATATATATGGGGTCAGGGGAGGTAAGATAGTAGGCTACCCCCAACACCAAGTTAAGAGCAGCTTCCGTAAGAGACCTCCGAATTATGAAATGCCCTCCGTGAAACTCGATCCCACGACCTCAAGTTTAAGAACCTTTTGCTCTACCAACTGAGCTGGATGGTCATTTCTAAGGATACATCTTTAAGGCATCCCTAATTTTTTGAGGGACTTTTGTTCCATTTAAGACATTCCACTGTGGTTCTCTTGATGCTCTGGATTTTCTTATTTCATGTTTCTGGCTGACTTGTTTTTGTTTGTTGGGACCAGATCCAAGTTGTGCTGCTTTCCAAGATGAAGAATGGGGAGTTCCTGTACATAATGACAAGTACGTGGTCTTAATATTGCTGCATCTGGTTATTGATAAAAAGATTTTCCATTTGAAGAGTAGTTTGATATTGTTATTCACATGCAGTAAGTTGTTCGAGCTCCTTGTACTATCGGATGCATTATCTGAACTTACATGGCCTGCCATACTAAGCAAAAGGCATATATTTAGGTACTGTTCCCACAGAAATTCCATCTTAATTCATTGAATTAGCAGATTCATCGGGGAAGTGTATCTTATGCAGGGAGATTTTCATGGATTTTGATCCTGTCGCTGTATCAGAGTTGAATGAGAAGAAGTTGATAGCACCTGGTAGCATGGCAAGTTCTTTGCTATCAGTATTAAAGCTATGGGCTATTATTGAGAATGCAAACCAAATATC